CCTTCTCATCGTGGGAATTGAGTAAACAGCAAACCAATGTCAGAGTGAGTATAGGTATATGCTTATGATTCAAGGTCATGTTGGAAAGAAGACCTTGACCACTGTCTTTTCACCAATGGTACAAGACTTTTCATTCCACGTGCTCAAATTTTGACACAACAAGCTCAAGGCCTCTGAGGAACAATACTTCCAAGGAACAGCAGGATGAGGTAACGTGGAACTGTGCATGTGAAACACCCTCGATCCCAGCCTGCAATCTCTGTAGAGAATAGCGCGCCAGACCAAAAAAAGCTCATGACAAGGCCAGCCTGAAGTGCAACCGGCTGCGTGTGGGGCTGCGTGATGCAGCGTGTTGCTCATTCACTTCGTTGAGGGACTTGGATTGTCAAGTTACCTTCACAGGTTCCCGGCTGCATCTGTTCACCACATACCTTGCGAATGATCTAGAAAACAACAGTGCAAGAAACAGCGAAGCGTCTTCTCTCTTCTTGCTATTGCTAAATCCTGTCACCACAATATGTAGTGCAGGACAAGTACCACGCAGGCACCAACACCACCTTGGCTGCTCACGAACCATCTGCCATGCCGATGACATGATCAAATAAGCTGGAGTCGTTTTGGATTCACCACGCATCGAAATCCGTGCACAGTGGCATGGAGTCTTTGAGTTGCATTATTGATGTATCCTGAAGGAACACCCAACCACTACCACTACCGCCACTACCACCACTACCGGCTTTGGCAGGCATAGCAAGCATGACATAGCAAACAATAATATTCTCCTAGGTCTAGTCTAGCAATTAAACAAACCATTCAAACTTCTTGTCTCTGCGAGCAGGTTTCCACAGCTTAGCAAGAGCCTCTGGGCATCCAAGCAATGGCACCCAACGACTCGATGACAAAGAGATCGACCTTGAACTTCCGGAATGCATCATGCAAACACAATGTCCGCAAGTGAGAAATAACCCGTTCCAACTATTTCCAACTGACCTCTATCTGCCTTCCAACTTCACTGAATTGCAGTCAACGGGTGAATATTGCCATACATTGCCAAGTCCAAGTAGGACAGCTCTGCATAGATACACGGCAAGGTCTTTGCCCAAATGCCCTACATGCTTCCCAAGTGTTTAAACATGTGATCGTTGGATTCATGCTTCCCCAATTGTCCATTTTGCATCTTCTCCTCTCGCTGATGAATCATGACGAATCCACATTGGCATCCTGTGGGGACACGAACCCGGGCCGCACTTGAACCAAGACACATCGATCGCACCTTCTCCTGCTTCAGCCATGATGAAGGACTTCAACATACCTCGTTTCGATCTTGGCCCTTGGCTGGTCTTTGTTGAGGAAGCCTGAGGCTGTACAAGCTCCATCTCATGTACAAGCCTGAAACTGTACAAGTATATGATAGCCAATTCCCAGAGTCAAAAAACAATCAGGGTGTGCACTGGACCAAGGCTCCAGTACTACAATGTTGAAACCGAGATGTTCTGTAACCGATTCAACTTCAACCAACCAATAGTCCGGGACACTGATGACATGGAAGACACGCTGATCAGTTGCCCCAATTAACCCACGTCCTTCGGTATCACTATCCTTGTTCAGTATCGGGTCTGAGTCGGTTGATGGAAACACTTCAGTCTTTGGTTGATGCCTTGCAAGTCATCAATCACCAGGAACTCACCATGGCAGAAAGGTCCAATTATTGCATCCTATGTCTGGCCAATTCAATGGCCACTTTTGCCCAGCCTGCCAAGAAAAGGAGGATTGTCCAAAAGGTGCAAGCTGTTTGCCCCAGCCTTGGACTCTGGTTTTCAGAGGCAGCACTTGGCAGTGTCTGTCAAAATGGAGATACGACCCAAATACCCACAAACCTGCTTAAACTGAAACTGACTGCTCTGGCGCCCAAGTATCATAGTATCAAAGTGCCATCAGTCTTGCCTCTGGAAGCAACCTTCGTCCCTATATATTCAACCATTTGCGTCTTACTTTGTTTTTCAATACCATTCGTTTATTGCCAAGGCACAAATGCCGCAACTCCGTACGAGAGATGGGCTGTGCAGGTGCAGCATCTCGAACACAGAACCACGTGGAGTTAGAGATGCAAACAAAGCAGCCTGAAGTCATTGAGATATACTCCAACCTAGCGATGTCCAACCTACTAGCGATGGCCTCCAATAGCACTGAGATACTGAGATATACCGACTACTCCAACTCCTGTCACACTGAGTTTTACCGTCCCATGTCAGTCAGAGTGTATGCTTCGTGTCAGCGTGGAGCAGCGACCTGAAACGCAAACCGACAACATAAGCCTGACAGCCAAAGCAGGCGAGGCACAACCACAACAGCCTGCTAGCGACACGATGACGGTCAAAAGAGCAAACCTCAGGGCTGTGGAGGGCGGCGCTTCTAGTAGCGTCCTTGCTACTAGTAGCTTCTTGTTCCTCGGGACACGTTGGTGTGGCTCTAAAGGTCCACCATGTCCACCTCTCAGCTCGAAACACGACATTCTTCTTGATCAGGACAGGGTCTGCAATGAAGAACATGATGGCAAAACCTCGACTCAAACCAGTTCAATGGAACTCCTGGTATCCATTCATATCAATTCCTATCCACTTGCGCCATCGTGTCATACCTGGTGACTGGTTGTGCAGCCTGAAAGGCGGCTGCTTGTTGATCTTGTTGCTACTGTTGGTTACCCCACCAACTTCCAAACCTCAACATCTTTATGTGAGAACAATGCATCATGGATTCCCCCACAGGCAAAGCCACCGAGTCAGGCCAAGCGGCTTGCCACCATAATCACTGCACAAATCCCAAGTCCACTGTGAGTGTCAGGATACCTGTGGCTAAGTAATTGATGGACAGGACTGAAGCCGCGCAAGGAAAACCAGCTCATCAACCAAGAAGGATGAATCAAGTGCATGGGGCCTCTTGTCATCATCCAAGCTGCTCATATTCTCTCGCCAAATCAACGCAGGGAGAGTTCACATAGTGTGCATAGGCCTGCAATTCATCTGAGACATGGACACTCACTGCTTGCAAGTTGTTACCCATCAGTCTCTCCGATTCAGTTGTTTGAGCATTGAATATTCAAGATATTTCTTGACGGTCATGACGCTGCAATCAAAATTTGGTCGTGGTGAATCTTACAAAAATGAAACAAACTATTGAACAATAATGAACAACTTTACTGTACAATGTATAAGTTCTCTGAGGTATACCCGGTTGTACGTACTGGGACCCAGGGTCAGTACAGGATTTTTTCCTAGGACTGACCCTGGCTCAGGTGAAGGCTAGAGGTTCAAGACAAGGCCAAAAAAAGAGTCCCTGACCAATGCAAATATACTACCGACCGGTGACTTAGGACTTGTGTGGGCCAGTGACATAGTAGTTGTGGCCCACTACTCCTAAGTCATTGGGAACACAACAATTGCAGAGTTGCTGATTCAAGCCTCATGACTTGGGAATTGTCGCCAGCTGATGATCAAGCAGTTCTATTTTTTTCAGGGAGGGGGGGAATTGATGCACACAGAACAAATGACATAAGAATCGGCCTGCTCATCATGTTTCATCATGCCTCCTGGTACTTACAACTCCTATCTCACGTCATTTATTCATCTTTTCCGGCAGCCTTCTGTTTTTTTTTTTTTTTTAAAGCTATTCTTGTGTGACCATGTGTTGATGTGTTTCTCTACTTTAAAGTCCATGACATAGGAATTGTAAAACCCACCATACGTTTTACAACTCCTTTGTCATTAGTCGAGAGTATAAGTAACTTTAGGAAGGCCTGAGGTTAGCAAGCTAGACGATGATCGACGAAACGGCTCCGGGAAAGCAGATGTGCTTGCAAAATTCAGATGTGTTTGCACATATCTCAGTGCTTTCTCTTGGTTTGTTTTCAGAGCCTGGTGATCCGTCCTTTGGGTGCTTTGCTGGTCACGACGAAGACACATGAAATCAGGACACATGATTTGCGGCAAAGCGAGTCCGCCTTGGAGACACAAAGATGAAAGACATTGAGCCTGCTTTGGGCCCGCTGTGGGTTCTTCTGTCCAATTTGAGGAGGCCGATTCACAATGGCTACCGCATCCGTGGAAGGGCAGAAAAGACTTCTGGACATTGGCTTCTCACCGGAAACCTCTCAATTGGCAACAGCAAGGGGAGCGTGATTCTGCAATCATCAGGCAGCTCGAAGGCATGCCCGCCAAAAGAACAAGCCGTGCAATGGCTTGGAGAACGTTGACGGCATCCTTGAAGCAAAACTGTGGGCTGGATGAAGATACCAAAAGCATAAAGCTGTTCCCAGGCGGTGTCACTTTATATGCTCCGCTGGCATGCGAGCAATGGTTTTTCATCAAGGTTCTTTCTTTTGCTAAGGATTATTGCAAACGTCTTTTGTTTTCTTTATGTTCTTCGCTATTCAATTTCTTTTGTTCTTCTCTCTAATCTGTATCTTTTCTATCTTTTCTTTCCTTTTCTACTCCCACTACTGGTTGGATAAAATTCTAGGAAATAAAGTATATACATCAACTATGGATAATTTTAATGCACTGACCCTCAAATCATGCCCCCCCCCCAAAAAAATATCCACTCCTCACTTGGGTGGATTTTTTTGAGGGATTGACCCCCTGGTTAGGTTGCTGGCAGGCTGGCACACAGATATCGTCCACTGACGTCCTCAATTTTATCCGCTCAGTACGGACCCCTATCTGAGGTGTAGCATCAAGAAGCGTCGTGCTTTTCAGCGGACTTCTGGGAACCAACTCACGCAACCACTTCAAGGTCCAAGCATTAGTGTCCATGTAAGCAATGCTGGCATGGACACAAGCGTATACAAGGCCCCTTGCGTACTGAAATTGCACATCCAAGGCAAATCTGACCCGAAAAGCAGGTAGTGAAACAGTGAAACCAATAACTTCGACACCATCCCGTTCCTGCATATTGACTCAAGAAGAAGGCGAACATATGATACGTTCTTTTTCATTGTGCGACCACGCCAAACACCACCTTTCGGAATCATTCATAAGCAATTGGAATGCCTTCCTTGCAGTGGCCATCGCCAAAGCTGACGGTTCAGTTGTTACCGACAAGCTGCTGGGTCAGAGATCGGCGACGGTCCCAAGGAACGCCCGAAGACCACAAAGGAGCCTTGCTGCCTGAGGGGTGAAGCAGTGCAGTGTAATAGATTGTACTAGAATGTACTAGAATAGCATAGAATACTTAAACAGTATGCAAAGCAAACGGCGCTAAAAATACTTGTACAGGGCTATAGGGATTCTCGGTTGCCTGTCAAGTTTTTCTTAAAAAAAGGGTCCCGAATCATTCGGAGCCGAACTTTCGGAACCGAAAGTCAGCGAATGTCAAGAACCGAAATCAGCCGAATCATTAAAACCGCCAATTTTCCAAACACAACCGAACCGATAAGAAAAACGAACCGTTCCGCTCTGTTCCGCTGTGACGTTTTTTCAGACTGTCCAAAGTCTTGAGTTTCAGAGCAGCAGTGCCCCACTGGAATGTCCATACAGCATGTCACTGGCCCGGCCCGGCTTCAGGCGCATTCATAAAATGCTTTCCTTTCCAATATTTTTCTTAGTCACGAATTGCATTCCTACCTGTCCATGTCCATTTCCTTTTCCGTTCCTTTGCTTTCCCTGACATTGTCCTTTCCTTTCCTTGTCCTTTCCTTTCCAATATGTTTTTTCGACTGCCAGGAAAAAGCATATTACCTTACCTGTCCTTTTCCTTTTCCTTTTCCTGTCCATTGCTTTGCTTTCCTTTCCTTCCTTTTCCTTTTCCTGGCTTTCCTTTCCAATATGCTTTTTGGAAGGCCTGGAAAAAGCATATTCACAAATTGCATTCCTTCCCCTTGCTTTTCCTTTTCTATTCCCTTTCTTTGCTTTCCCTTCCTTTTTTTTCTAGTTACTTTCCTTTCCTTTCCTTTTGCTTTCCATTTTCCCTTTTTCTCCTGTCCTGTACTGTCTTGTCTATAGTCTATAGTCTATAGTCTAGTCTTGTCTTGTCCCTTTATCATTGCCTTTCTTTTCTTTACCCCACTGCGAAACTTATACCTCACAGAACCGAAACGAACCGTGAACCGAACCGAAAGTCCGTGAACAAATACTTCTACAACCAAACCGAACCGATTCGATTTTTCAATTAAACATTCAAACCGATTCCAACCGAACCGAAACCTTACTGTCTAAAGCAAACAAGTTGCTCTCCATCTCTCGCCTGCAACAGTGGCAAACGTTCCATTGATTCTGCATGAGCAACAAAAGAATATTTAATATCTAATCAACGGTAGCAGCTGCCATACTGATACTCCCTGTATATATTTAATCCAAAGGGCAATCAGAACAAGTCATTTGTTGATGGTCCTTCCGGCCTTATTCGACATTCCATTAGTGCCGCAAACTATGGCTTCCAACGTAAGAATGATCGCAAAGAACAAGCCGCCTCCGCTGGTACAGGCACTCCATTTGTTTGATCTGTCGACATAGACCTGGTGGACAAACAAGGACAAGGGCAGCAAGGGACATTTTACAAAATTATGCTGTGTGGCCCTCCATGCCGTAACTGACTGCCGACTGACCGCCCCGCGACAGCCGACCTTGTTTTTCTCAAAGGCAACGGCCCAACTCTGAGAGCGCAAATCGCTACAAACATCGTCTCACTCAAGTGGAGTATTTGGTGAGACAATCGATACCAACTGCTAGCACCTTTGGACCTCAGGGTCCTATTCATGTATAGCCTCAACAACCAAGGACACATCTTCATCCTCATCGCCATTCCTGTCATTTCCTGTCCCTCATCTCTATCTCTCTCTCTCTCTCCCTCTCCCTCTCCCTCCCTCCATCCCACCTCCACCTGAACGCACCCATTTTCCGGCGCCACTTGCACAAGTTGTTCCGTAACTGGCCATCCAACGGTGTGCTCCCACTTCAAACCAGGTGAACAAAATTAAATACAGCCTGAAAACTAGCTTGGACATATCTGTTGTCTCTCAATGGAGGCCCTATACGAAGCTGCAAAGATTTCTTCGCGCTCAGTGAAATGACCTGAGATTGAGGATTCCACGAGCGGCACCAATTTGAGGAATGGCTTTTCTGACTTACACATCTCCATACAATTCATCGTGAGAAAATGCCGAGACCTTCCACGTGATGACGCAAGCGATAGTGGCACTGAACTGTGGAGTTTCCAAAGCTAGATTAAAGAAACCATATTTGTAATAAAACAATATAAAACATGTCTCTTTCCTCTCCCCCACTCTCTCTCTCAAAACACTCACTCACTCTCTCTCTCTCTCTGTCTGAGCTCATCGCGTCAGCTTGTCCGTTTGCACCGGTGCCTCATCCTCATGCAAATGGCTCAATGGGTTCTCGCGACCTTGATGGCTCACGGTGTTCTTGAACAATGGCGGCACAAAGGCAGGCGCTGCATGCAAGGTTTGCACGGTCAACATGGGTGAACTCATCTAGTGGTTTTCATGAAGTGCTGTTGGAAGCCCTCTGTGTCTTGTCGAATAAGTTTCAATTAGTATCAACTGGCATACGGTATACAAGTATCGTATCTATATAAATGATTCTAAATGCGCGGTTTCAAACCGAGTTGATTCCTAGACCCCATTCCAAACGCAGAAATCCACCAAACAAGTTCTTAAACTAAATCTCAGGCGACTTATGCTGGTGCCGAGGCTTTCGATAGGGTAGCACAGGTCTAACTTATGGGTTTTTTACTTCTTCCATATTGTCAAGCAATTGATAGCAATTGCATGCAGCTATGAGACGATAGTGATGAGCGTCATTGTAGGCATCAATAGAGGATGTCTCCAAGCGCGCGATGGTGTCAAACTCCTGAAAGATGCAACTCATTTGACCCTCAAACCTGCAGGCACCCAAACTCTTTGCTGGAATTGCTCCGTCTTGTTCCTCCTAGACAAACCTCCTCTTGACAGATTCGTCTGGATTGATTCAGCTTTTATTGTTGCTGTCTTGCCCTTTCTGAAGCATTCCAGCTCAAGCAGTGGCATTGGGCTCAGCTATGTTCATGGAGGTGTGCAGTTGCCTTGATGGTTGCCGCCCGCAGCCGAGTCAGCGCACGGAACACCGCACGCTTGATTTCGGCCACCTGGCGATCAAAAGTGCGAATTGTTCCAATGCACCCAAGCACTTTGGTGAGCTGGTGGGGTGGGTGGGATCTGTGGGTGAAGGAACACATTGCATTCTTGCACGTTTATTGTCTGCTGTTTGAACCTACGCAAGATGTGAATGGAACAGTTGCAAACGATCCAATACAGTTGGAATAAGCAAGGTATATAAATTGGATGGGATGTAGAGCGCCAACTGTAGAGAATAAACTTCCAGGAAAGTACATGAAAATACAGCACGCTACAGTTCGAGGTTGAATTTCGTGCTGAAGGCAGATGGGAGCGGGACGATCGGAGGATGTCGGAGGACACCTCGCAACATTCAACAGTGACTTGAACACACAGGGCACATACAAGGCACATTCGGCTTGGATCGCACTGTGGCAATCGGCTTGACTGGGAAAGGAGATATTATTGAGTCGAAGAGTCAATGGTTCTCACCTCAGAGCTCGAAGTGCCGAAAAGATTCGACCAGTGATACCTTCTGAATCCTTGACATCTCCTATGTTTTTTTTTTAAATGGCATCTTTAAAGTCCAAAAATTTTCCAAAAAGTCGAACCGTAACCGTAACCCAAAAACATCAAAAAAACAAGGCGTGCCAACCGTCGCAGTTTTGTCGAAAGGCCGGCCACACTTTTCTCGAATGTTAAAACTTTCAATGGTTCCTGATGAGCCCCCTTTAAAGGTACTCCTTGTCTATACCGTGTGCAGGGCAAAGTTGAAACCTATTAGAGAACCATAGAGAACCACAACCCCAAGGACACGTGAGTAGTCGAGCGCAAACGTTGAAAAATCACACCTTTTCAAGAGAACAAACGGTAACTTTGAACATGAAAAAACGATTCAAGAAAACTTTGCAGCACATGTTTGCTTTACGGATTCTATGACACGCATGCGGGCGTGTTTGTGAATCATGAAGAGGGCTTTCCTGCAAAGTCCGAACGCACACTCTGACAATTGTATTCAGTTAACTCAATTCCCCGAGGAAAGGAATGGCTCAACGGTAAGGTGAGGAGTCCGATCAATTGAAGATGTTTTAACAAGTGGTTTGTGCACAACTGCGGCGACAAGCTGCAAAAAAACGCGGCTGCTGAAAGTGGCTGATAAACCTGTTTGAGGGTGGTAGCATGAAGGACCATGAAAGCAAGCCGATCAAATTGGACAGCTTGAAAAACCGTTCTCGTTGCAGGTACAGGAATGTGCATCCACATTCCCTTCCGGCTGAATCCCATAGCTTCGTTGGCATGGCTAGGGAAACAGCTGCCATGCCCCCTGCGGGTGAAACTGTGGTTAAAATTGCGGTAGGTGAGGTGGCGGTAGTGAACCCTTGGCCCAGGGGTTGACACGCACAGGTCGCCGTCATCGGCGCTTTTTTCAAAAAGCGGTGGCAGGCTTTGTGGTTGTGTCCTTTTTGGACATAGAGCCTCACTAGTTCGGCGGCAGCAGCTTCAGCGCTTGAGGGTGGAAAAGTGTATTTAATTGTGAATATAGTGTGAAGTCTGGATTGGAGGCCTGACAGAGCCAAGCGCTGGCTCCCGGCGGTGGTGGAATCCCTGATTTTCCAGGGTTGTGAGGGTTGTATGTCGGTGATGGTACGTTGTTGTAGGTCAATGTTGAAGCCCAGGAGGTGAAAGTCGTCGACAGGTTCAAGTTCCACTGGGTCTCCAAAGAAGTTGTGGTGGATGAGGGTTTGCATGGCTGGGTGGTGGAGGAAGTGTTCGTTGTGAACAATGAAACGGTTGTCCGTAACGGTTGTCCACATAGCGGTAGTATGCAAAGTGTAGGTCAGTGTGTTGAAGCAAGTTGTTGTGGATCTGGTGCCAGGAGTGTTCAATGAGTGCGATGGCGACATTGCATAGGGCTGGAGAGAGTTGGGAGCCAATCCCAGCTCCTCGGATTTGTTTGTAGGTGTTGTTGCGAGCCCGGAAAATACAGGTGTTGAGCGCATAAGCTTAATGGTGGTGATGTCGGATGTCTGTATGGTACGTTGTGTGGGGTGCTTTCGCTGGTGTCTGCCGATGTGGGAGTGGTGGAAGGGGTTGCCTGTGGCTTGAATATCCACCGTGAGGGTGTGTGTGGATTGCTGTTGTTGCCAGTGGTGAACCAAAGAGTGGACTGCGTCGATGAGTCGATGTTGGGGAACCGAGTTGAAGAATCGTCGTTGGTAGCATACAGGGAGATGTCGGGCTGGGGTTTGGGCGAGGTAGCTGTGGAAGTGGCGCCAGAGTTGTGGGGTGGAGAGTTGCCCGGGATGCTGGGGGTAAAGGTGTTGGAGTATGATGTCGAGAGCTCGGCTGGTGATGCGGAGGAGGTTGCCACTGAGTGAGTGGAAGTAGGAGATAATTGTGCGGCCTTTTTGCCACTGCTTTTTCTCCTTGAGGTGGACCAGAAATCCTTGCGGAAGCCCCACTTGTAGCGGGTGCGAAGGATAGGTGGAACAGTGGCTTTAAGATGGTCATGGATGTTGGCGACTGTAAGGTAGGGAAGTGGTTCAAAAAGTTCAGGGGATTGCCACGTGTTTAAGGCACCGGTGAAGTATTGGCGGGGGCAGAACATCCGGAGCTGTTGTAGTTCGTGGTCAGCATGGTGAAGGACCGTGTGTGGGCCGAGGTACTCCTGGAGTTGACGGAGTAATCGAGCGGTAAAACGGTTGTTGTTTGAGATGGGCGTTGTGGAGGCGCCATTGGTGCTCGAGGAAGGTTGCAAATGCTGTACAAGGGATGGTGGTAGCCCTTGAAGCTTGAGCCATTTCGTGTAGGCTGTTTGGAAAGTGAGGAAGTAGCGAGCCTTGCTGGGATAGTATGTACTGTTCATGTTGGCGTTGAGGAAGATGTTGAGGTGTGGTGGGAGGTGGTCCAGTGTAAGAATGTAGTGGCCATTGGTGGTGGGTGTGTCCGGATCCTGCAGTAGATTGCGAATGGATCTGGTGGTGAATGGAGAGTGTCCTCCCAGGTACGGTGTTGGGATCGCAGGGTCTTGTGAGCTGCTTCACGTAGGCGATGCGAGGGGAGGTGGAGGGGAATGGCCAAATGTTTGTGTTGTTGAATGGTGGTGCGGAGCCACTGTTGGCAGTGTTTGGTAAAATCATCGTGCACTAGGAAAGGCACTGTAAGTGGGATGTTCGGTTTGGGTGGTGTGAGATTGCGGTAAAGAAGGGCTTTGTTGATGATGTGGAGAGCCCTACTGCGGCCTGGTTCTTCGAGATTGGCGGCCATGCGCCGGATGGCGTAGACTTCGAGGTCGGTATGGCGGCCGCTTCGCAGTTGTTTGGCTGCTTCGAAAGAGGCGGCTGTGTGTTTGGTGAGGTTGCGAAGGAGTGTGAGAGCGTGATGTTTGGTGGAAGTGTAAAGGTGTGGTTCTCGGATGGTGTGTTGGCGTTGCCGTAGTCGTCGAAAGAGACGTTTGTGGGTGGCCAGCCTGGAGTAAAAGTGTGCTCGGTGTTTTGTGAATTGCCATCCCTGAGCTTTCAATTTGAGGTGGTGTGAAATGAACGGCCAGTTGAGTGTGGGCATCCAGTTGGCAATATGATGGTGTTCCTGGATCCAGGCGTGATCGTAAGTGTCATGGGATGTAAGCTGAATGGTGGTGTAGTGGTGAATGTTGTTGTGAGAGTGCCAATAGCGTAAGGATAGTTCTGCCGAAATTGGGATGTTGTTCTGGA